AAAAAAAAAGTTACCGAAGAAAGACAAGTAAATTAATTTACTACGTCAATGTCCGTCAAACTCGATGAAAAAATATCAAAGCTCAACTCTTTCTTTTTTTAATTACGCGATGTGAAAAAATTAAGATTCCTTTTAAATTTACAAAAGCAAACCGGTAAAAATGTCAGATTATTTTTATCACTTTTTTATTGACCTCTGTCTTCGATTGCAACACAATATTCTCAACGTACCGTAACTTGTGAGCCTTGAAAAAATCCATTTTATGACACATATAGTCTCAAGTATCAAATGGTAATCTTTGTGCGCCTTTAAACGATACGCTCCAGGCAATCGTCACTCGATACACGATCAACATCAATGATCGAAATGCGACAAGCAAGATCAAAGAAATATGTTTATTCGGTGTCACGCGTGACTTGAGTGTTGAGTGACCGGCAACGAAAGAGAAGAGAAGAGAGAGTTCATGCCTTATCATACAGACCCGTTCCACGTGCTTCAGTTTTATTGCGATCCTTGAGAGAGATCCGATCTCGAAAGGATGGCACTTTCGAGAGCTCGTAAAAAGGTTTTTTACTTTTTTACTCGTATAAATTACGAGAATTGACGAGGATATTGCATTTGTTCACAAAAGCATATAAAAAAACTCCTCTCAAATGTATTTTTTGCATAAATTAATCTTTATATAAAGATACTTACCATAAAAAAAAAATTTACTATAGTAAAATTTACTTTAGTAAAATTTACTATAATATATATAGGTATACAAATGTGTGCACATATACTAAAAAAAAAGATTTGCCAGAGTAGCCAGAAAGTAGTGCATGGTCAGTGGCAAAAAAATATTTGCTAACTCAACAATTTTTCTTGCCGGGCATGTAATAGCAAAACTTTTTTTTCCGTGTGTGGGGTTGTTACATTCCCGCAGTTTTATATCGGTAGATCTCTGAACTTTTTAATATCTGATTTTTATATCGGATGAATTCTTATTATATAAATTATTATACGAAGTTATTATTATATTAAGAAAGTTTCTTATTAGAAAGCTAATTATATTTAATAATAAGTTCTCTGTAATTAGAGAGTTTATTATTAAAACTATTTTATATAATGTGCAATTATTAAAATATTTATTTCGTGATTACAATTTTTTAGGATGAAAGACCCTGATCAATCTCAGTGTCTTTATTACTGTCAATCAAAATTTAAACAACTGTTTGAATATGAAAATTGCATATGTTTGATTTTTATTTATAATCACTATAACAATAATTATATTTGTTGAAAGTGTTATTGAAATTTGTTCTAATAACATATGTAGTTTTCATATTTAAAAAAATCGTTTAAATTTTGATTGACAGTAATAGGAACATTATCAATAATAAATGGATTTTTTATTCTACGAAAAATTAAAATTTCGAGTTTTTTCCGATTTTTACCGAATACTCATGCATAGAATTATATTCTCGCTTTTACGAAATACGAAACAAGTACATCTAGTTGATCATTATAGTTTCATTACTTAAATTACAAGCCTTATAGGAAAAAAAAAAAACGATAATCGCGATAGCGTAAAAGCAAACTGTAAAACCATCCGGTGGACGCTGTAGACCACGAATTCTCAGGAGGAGTTTGTTTGCCTTGTAGCAAACGAGCCGACGAAAGAGGAGCAGAGCGGCCATCTTGTCTCTGTCTTCGTACTTCCTCTCTCGCAACGCGCGTCTCGTGTTGGTTACAGAACCACTCCACTTTCCTCCCGGCCGAACTGTGCCATCCGTCCGTTTTCTTGGCTTTAATTAGAGCGACGGATAATGTGTACACATTAGCAATAAAGATCGGGGGATCCAAAAATCCTCTTCAAAAGATCTCTAAATCTATTTGTTAAGAGAAGAAGAAAACAAAAACAAAAATAGCAACAAAATATTCGTGTGATCGGATGCACTTTCTTATTTAAAAAAAAATAAAAGATACGGATTACTGTAAAAATCCGTACACTGAGTCTCGTGTCTTAAGGGTTGAGAGTCAAGTGGCTTCGGGTCCTCGTGGTGATAGCTTCCTCCCGACTTATCCGAGTCGAGAGAAAAACCCTCGTGGATATATAATAGGCACTGCCTGTGTTTACCGTTTTACACTACTTTCGGACCCTCCCGTGACATATTCTGCGACAGTTTCAAGTGGCTCTCCTTCTCCTTGAGGAGAAAAAACTCAATTAGTCTCCGCCATAAGAACCGGAGCAAAGTGGCGAAGATGCGTGGCGCATATCTCGCGGGGGTGGCAATTAAATATTTGTACACAGAACTCATCAGAGTGCTGACCCGCTCGATGCGGGAAGCTCGCATGCGGCGCTTTTCGCTGCTTCGTTCATTTACATATTCCTCGAAACGCAAGTCGTCAGCAATCGTCGGACCGACTTTATTGCGAGAGTCACGGTCGCTTTACTTGAGATAAAAGCGCTTTCCAAAAAAAAAAAAAAAGCGGGAGAGATCCTGTTCTCAAAGAAAAACCACTCTCGGTCGCACGTGCGCAGGAAAACCGCAGACCGGAACCAGAGAGAGAGATCACGGTCGGTCGTTTTCCGCGTTTTTTTACGGCAAAAGCGTCTTTCAGTTGCGTCTACGTTGTCTGAGAGACCGACTTTTTACTGCTCTTAAAAACGCACACGTTCTTTGTTTTCCCGTCTCGCTGAATTTGCAAGCATAAGACTCTCGTCTGGCAAAGTTCGGCGCCCAGAAAATTCCAGTCGCGTGATGTGCCACCGTTCTGATCACATGTTGACCTATCCCTCATTTTTCTTCAGAAACTCAGCAGAATATAAATGCTTTTTTCTATTCTCCACTTGTGTATATTACAAAATATTTCATTTGTATTTACTCTAAAAATAGTCATTATTTATTTTACTATTTAAAATAATATTTTTGTGTAATTTACGACGTAATGCAAATAAATAAATATATACAGTCGTCATGAGAGAGCGCAAACAAATTCAACATACGGTAGCGGTGTCCCCCATTGACGAGCATGCCGAATTTTGACAGGCGTGCGGTAAAACGAAACCGTCAACAGGTGCATTTGTGAATAAGCTAAATGTATGTATACCTCTAACTCTCACGAAAAGCCGACACGCGGGGGTATCGGATGCGCGCTAAAATACAAGGAGAGGGTTCTCTCTCGTAAGGCGGCGCGCAGCAAGACTCCACGATCGACGGAGACGGTATAAAATTACGGTATCGTGTAAACAGAGAATCTCGTCGGCGCGTCTGATGGCGGCCTGGGTGGCCGTCGGTCCCGGGCGCGCGCTTCACGTGTTCCCGGCAAGCGCCGAGACGAAGGCTGTGCGCGAGTCTCCGAAGCCTTCAGAACGTAGTTTTCTCGGCGACAATAGCTCCGACAAACGATCGGCCAAAATACGGTCGTATTTATAGTGCTCTCGTTACGATGCTTTTCTCGACGTTTTCGCGCCGGACTAAAGTCCGGGGCGCTAAATTTCTGCGCGCGATCGCAAAATCAATGACAATTCCGCCGTCTCGCTCGCGAAACTCGCGAAATTCACGTGTGTACGTAGCTTCGGCGCGTTCTTCTAGGATAGTTGCGTGTTTGATTAAAATTTGCCCCACACACACACACAGGACGTTTTCGAAAAAGATCTTAGATTCTCAAGTTCACAAATTTGTTTTGTGTAAAAACAAATTTTTTAGACTTCGCGCAAATTTAT